TTATAGGCATATTGATATTTACCTTTTTAAAAATCTTTGTCTTTCAGATTTTCTTCCCGTACCCCAAATTAGGTTGCAAATTATTAATGTTTTTTTTAGTCTTATTGCTTATGCAATTAATTGTGTGAAAGCAGATTTTGCAAAAGGGAGGTGATGCATGGTTCATGGATGACGTAGCCTTTTCTCCTTTTGTTCAGGAATTGGTTCCTAAGATTTGTTTAATTGGTGTTTCTTCTTATTACAGTGAACTCAATACAATACTTGTCCTTTTGTGATTGACTTGCTTCACTCAGCATAATGGTTTCCAGGTTATTTCATGGCATGTGGTGTTTCCTTGTTTGTTAGGGATGCATAGTATTCTATTGTGCATCTACCATCGTTTCTTTATCCACACTTACACTGTTGGGCATCTGGGCTGCTTCCAGTTTCTCACTCTTGTGAATGAATTGTACTTGCTGTGAACATGGGAGAGCACGCCTCTGCTTGTATTTTGTCTCTCATTTCTTTAGGGTACATTCCTAATAGTGGTGTTGCTAGATCACATGGGATTTCAGTTTCCAGTTGCTTTAAGTATCACCATATCGCTTTAAGTTTTCCACAGTGGCCTCTCCAGTATTTGTTGTTTTCTGGGTTTTTTTTAATATGTGCTGGCATTATAGGTGTAAAGTGGAATCTCATTTTGGTTTTAATTTGCATCTCCCTGATGGCTGGTATCGTGAGCATTTTTTCATGTTTGTTAGCCATTTGTGCTTCATTTTTGGTGAACTGTCTGTTCATGTCTTTTTCCCATTTCTTAATTGGTTCTTCTTATTTTCTTATTCAACTGTTGTTATGAAAGCAGATTTTGATGGAAAAAGAAATTGCCGAAACTTTCTACATGAGAAACTTTTTTTTTCTTTTGTAAATTTGTGCTTTAGGTCTTGCAAAAATGAGGTCTTTATGATGTGTATTGAGCACATAGTGTGAAATAAGAATAGACATTAATGTCTATTTTTGAGATTCTAAAGCAAAAATTTGTGCATTTTGAGATGTCTCTTGTGTTACCAATGAAAACACTTCTGAAAAGTACATATATTTATCTTCTACGATTACATGTACTAGATCATAGCATCATCAATATATTGCAGTATTTTCTTATTTCCCTCCTACATTGCTCTTAAATTGCCTAAAGATAAGGATAATGCTTTATTCATAGTGTTACTCCCTGAAAACTAGCTGTAAGTTGTCAAAAATGCCACTTCAGGGAGAGTAGTGTGTTACTAATATCTATCCCCTACTTAAAGCTGACAGATTCAAAACTGTCTTCTAAGCTGTATGAGGATAAAAGTCATAACCTGTGAAGTTTTTCTCCAATAAAGAGTTATACATAGCTAAGTGTCTTTGAAGTTTTTCAAGTTGATGCCATCTTACATAAAAATAAAATTTTATTAGACCATTTTCACTTGGAAACAAGTTATAAATTAGAAATATTTCAACATTTGTTAGCTTTGTCAGAGAATGTAAAATTGAGGAATCTATTATTTTTTGAATTGTTGAATAATTATGGAAGGGTTGTGTGTCTCTATAGTTTAAAAGCCAATCACAAAGGACTTAATATTGTAGGCTTCCGTTTATATGACAGGTTAAAAGTAGACAAATGAACAGAGACAGAACAATAAATTATTGGTTGGCTGCCTATGTGGAGTTGGGGCTGATGGCCAAAGAGTATGGGGTTTCCTTTAGGGCCAGTGGGGATATTTTAAAATTAATTGTGATCATGGGTGCTCAGTTCTGTGAATATAATAAAGTCATTAAATTCTGTACTTTAAATCAGTAAATTGGAGGATGTGATATATTTATACAATATGTGATTTTTTTTCAATAGAGCTGTTAAAATAATTTTTAAAATTTTAAACTAGCATCTACTGATGAAAACAACAACTCACTGCCTTCATGTCACTTGTAACTCATAGTGACCGTGTTCATGGTTTCTGAGACATAAATCTTTATAGCAGTAGCTTTCTCCCAAGGAGCAGCTTTGAGTAGGTTTGAACCCCTGACCTTTTGATTAGCTGCCAGCATCTAATCCACACTACCACTTGGCCTCTTTATTGGTAATAATAGACAGTAGTATTAAACCATTGCAGCATCATGCACTCTTTATATAATTTTTATTTATTAACTGCATATTATTCAAAATATTTCTATCATTTTGAGTAATTGCTGTATATTTCAAGACTAGCATTTCTTCTTTTCTGTTTCTGCACCAACTAAAATAAAATTACCATGCCGCATCGCAATTTAGAATCCCCAACAGGATCTTTTTATTCCCTTTCATTTCTAGTGTTTACGTAAGTGGGGTTATAGAAGATGTGAAGATATATGTTGGATTAAAACCAACAAAAACAATCCTGGGAAGACTAAAACTTTAGACCCAAAGGCTGTTTTCCAACGAACAAAGGTATTCTCCTTACTTTTTCATTTTCTGTTTTTATTGTTTTCTCTCGTTTACTCACATATTTATACTCCCCGGTTTTCTTTGACTTGTAAAAATGTCATTATTTTAGGAATGCATTTGAATTAATTTTAAGATGTTTTATTTACTATGTTGGATTGCCTTCCAAGTGCTAGAGAAGGAACCCATTATCTCTTAATCCCATTCTTTCATAGATTCTTTGAAGCTCCCTATGTATTTCTAAGTCAGACATGAAGGCTTTCGGTACTATTGCCTGCCAGATGTTTTCCTTTGCTCTAGGACCACAAAGAAGAGATGTTAATCAGACCGAAAACTTGCTCTAACTTCAAGGCCTTTGTCTCTCTCCTTCCCTTCTCTTGTCCGTCTACGCAGTAACCCTGAGGCCCCGCACAAGGAGCCCATAGAGCCTCTGCTTCACATGACTCAGCTCTGCTAGTATCAGTCAGTCCTTCAGTCTTACTCATTCAGTGGGAGATTTAATTTCTTATGAAATCTTTCTTGAACTGGGAACGTCTTTTGAGACTGTATTAGTTATATGGTGCTGCAATAACAAACACCGTAAGTAGATGGCTTTAACAGACCGAAGTTTCGTTTCTCACAGTTCAAGATGTTTGAAGCCAAAATGTCGAGCACCAGCTCTGGGGGAGGGCTTTCTGAATCACCTCTGGAGGATGCAGCGACCTTGTTTCATATGCTTATGCTTTGGTTGATCTGTAGGTGAATTGGCATCTCCCCATCTCTGAATCTTTTGTTTGTTTCATTTCTTTTATATCACCTCATCACAAGATCTTAAAAAATCTTAAATCAACTCCATGTCCAAAGTCTTATCTTCTGAATCATTTAAATCAAACATGAGTGAGACTTCAGATATATTCCCGCCTCGGGTGACATTTTTCTTCATTCGTGAAACTGTGAAATCTAGACCACAAGTTAGTGGTGAAACAGGCACAAGGGAAACATTTCTGCTTACAGATAGGAGACATTGTAGACAAAGATAGGATAACAGGCAGCAAGCAAGCCCAGAACTCAGCAGAACAAGTTGATTTAGCCCTCAAGGCTTGAAAATAGTCCTCTGTTCTCTGAGACTACCCGAGTAATGGCCCTGCCCTCCACTTTCTGGATGTTGGCATGCTCTTAGGTGTCTAGGTGGAGGCGCCTTGACCCTCACTTCAACTCTGCTTCGAGAATGGCATTTCTGCTGCTCCAGTCTAGGCAGTTCCATTTCCCTAGTCCAGGGGTCCTCAAACTTTTTTAACAGGGCCAGTTCACTATCCCTCAGACCCGTTGGAGGGCCAGACTATAGTTTAAAAACAAACTATGAACAAATTCCTATGCACACTGCACATACCTTATTTTGAAGTAGAAAGACAAACGGGGGAAAAATACCTGGCGGGCCTGATAAATGTCCTTGGCGGGCCGCATGTGGCCCGTGGGCTATAGTTTGAGGACCCCTGCGCCTAGTCCATTTGAATGGCAACTTCACACCCTGGGCCTTAAATTTAACATTCTTCTGTCCCTTGAGCATGACAGCCCTACCCACTGAGCTTTGGGTGGCAGCTCCAGTCCCTCGGGCACACCTTAGCTGCATCCCCTACTCTAAAGTGACGTTGGCAAAGATCTGACACTCTGAGACCCAGGAGGCTGCGGTCTCATCCTTTGAAACCACGAAGTCCCTGCTTTCTGTGCCCCTTTCAGCAGTTCTACTGATCTGCAAACTGTATCAGGGACGGTCTTTGTGTTTTGTTTTGCCCTCTTGAGCAAACTGATGTAGTGCCTGTGGCCCGTTTCCTGGCTGTGGGATTCTGAGAGGCAGGTGTTCTTTCTCTCTCCTCTTTTGTCTAAACGGATCCCTTCTCTGAGGTGGTAGTTGGTTAGCTCCATCATTCACAAGCTTGATCTCCAACAAACGCTTGTGTAGCCACATCGTTGGTGAAAATTAGAACACTTATCTTTAGTATGTCCAACAGAATTTTCCAAATCTTTTAAGTTCTGGTTTTCATTTTGCACGGTTCCTTTTTAAGCCCATCTCTTTCCTCTTGCATTTTACTTTAAGTAACAAGGTGAAACCATGCAGCTGTTTTAAGCTCATGCTTAGAAATCTCCTCAGTCAGCCAAGTTCATGCTCAGTCATCTGTTCATCATTTTCCTTTAAAGCCTCGCCAGAAGTAATGTAATGCCTATGTTTCTAGCAATGCTCTGTTGCTGGCACCATCCGTATGTATTCTCTAAGACCAGAGACTTTATACCTCGCCTCACTTCCTTCTGAGTTGTCACCAGTATTACCTGTGAAGTCAATAATTTCAGCAACAGCCTCTTCAAGGAAATCCAAGCTGTAACTCTGAGGCATGCGAAACCTCTTCCAGCCTGTACCTATTACCCAGTTCCAAACTATGCCCACAATTTGTTCCAGCAACATCCTACCCTTCCAGTGCCAAATCTGCCTCTTTATCTACACATACAAGTAAGGATTTACAACGGATATTTCTAGGGGACATAATTCAATCTATATCAACTCTATAACAGAAGGAAACCTAAACTACCTTTGTTCTTAGTGCTTCATGGAGTCAAATGACAGATCTGTTAAACATTCTGCCTCGCCTCCTCCTACCAAAAAGATTTAGATTCAATAAAGGAGGCCAAAAAACAAAAGTGTTTGTCTGCTGTTGAGCACTTATAAGTCTCCACTTGTGTTTAAAACATCCTTTCAATATATCAAGGAACCCTTGTGGTACAATGGTTACGCACCCACTGCCATCTGAAAGGTTGGCCTTTTGAACCAACCCATCAGCCACTCCATGGAAGAAAGATGTGCCAGTCTGTCCGGCAACATTACATCCTCAGAAACCTTATGGGGCAGTTCTACTCTGTCCTGCAGGGTTAGTGTGTCACAATCAACTCAGTGGCAATGGGTCTCCATGTCTCATTTTGAATTTGGACTATACAAAGCCCAAAGTGATACATTTTAAGATCCCAAGGCAGAGAGTCATGTTTCCAAAACCAGTGAAAATAAGTTACTCACAAGTGCTCGTGGAGAAAAGACTGCCAAAAACCTGTTCTAACATCTGACAGTCCAATTGTAATAACTCTTATTCTTAGGTTCTCTGGCAATCTTCTTACATGCAGAGATCCAGGCCTTCCCGGTTTGTTTTACCCACAGAACTGTATCCCAAAGAGTCAAAGAAGTAAGGGTGGTTTTGGAACTGGGGGCCTCAGAAACGCAAGCTGTTGTGGAAAGCGTTAACTGCTGCTCTCGTTGTGACTTAGGAGCACTGCCTCATGGGCATCAAAGGAACGGTGAAGCGCAGCACGGATGGAGACTTCATTCATGCTAATGTCGACATTGATTTAATTATCACCGAAGAACCTGAAATTGGGAACATAGAAAAACCTGTCGAAATCTTTCATATAATTGAACATTTTTGTCTCGGGAGGAGAAGGCTTCATCTTTTTGGAAGAGACAGTACAATTCGACCAGGTAAGAGACCTTGCTGTGAAAACAAACAAAAGAAAAAAGAACACTATGTAAAACAAAAGTCCTTTGCTGCGTTTGACACTCCTTGCTGTCCTTCATGTACACAAAGCTCATCCTTGCCCCGTGCCCTTCCATGGGTCTTTCTCCTTTCGTTCTCATGCTTGCTCAGATGGCCCCTTCTTAGACAACCCTCTCTCACAGCTCTCAGTAAGCTAGCCAGCTTCCCACTTTGGTGCCCTCTTCCCATCACTCTGTCCGCTTACTCTGGTTTCTTTTTCCTGGTGGCACTATCTGAGTTACAGGTTCATTTGGGCACGTGCCTGTAGTCAGTATTTCTCACATGCAGTCTCCTGACAGGCAAAGACTGTCATTCATTATTCTATGCCCAGCATTTAGATCACTCAGTAAATAGTGTATTAGATGAAGGGATGCATGAATGGATCATAGAATAGTTCTGTTTGTGAAATGCAAGTCAGTATCTTGCTTTTATTAGGGACTAAAAAGCATGGCTTCTATCTATGTATGATTATCGTATTGTCTTCACAGAATTGTCATTTTTTGTAAGTGAAATGTACATTTATTATTAGAAGAGAAAAATAATTAAGCTATTATGGAATAGGATTTTCTTTTAATTGGGTACCACATTGATTGACAGCATAGTGCTGAATTATCATACATTTGTATACTTTTTCAGAAACTATGCAAGTAACTGTTAATATTGCAAATTACTTTAGTCTTAATAAAAGAAAGAGTGAAAATTGATCTCTTTGAACTTACCACACAGTAGGAGAGAAAAATACAATTTAAAGATTGAACGAACCCGACTCTTACTTTTTTTTTCCCAAGTAGTCTACATTTTATAAAAAGATGGTAAAAAAAAAAGTCGATTCTACAGAATAACCCTCAAAGCGAGAGTTTATGAAAAATTCTAATGTTAATTTAAAAAAGAGTTATTCTTGAGGTTCTTTATGTGTATTTACAACAGAACTCCCATCCTCTGCTAGTTGTTTCTTTGTTGGTGTGTTTGGCGAGAACGAAGACTGGAAAGTAATTCAGCTATAGAAACTCCTTTGTAGTTGCCATCTAGTCAATTGGTTCGCAGGATTTTCTTTACTGTAATCTCAATGGATGCAAGAGGCCAGGGCTTTCCTCGTTGGTACTATTGGGTGCGTGGGATTGAACCTAACCTTTCAGTTAGCTGTCCAGTGCAAATCACCCGTGGCACCCAAGGACCTTCATGAGATTGTGTAAAATAATAAAACGAGTCATTTCAAAGAAGTGTTTTGTATGTGGAATCTGTAGTGTACAACCGGTTTGGCTTTACAAAGGCTGTTCCCTATTTTAAATTGTCATTTCTCATACCAATTTGTCAATTCTCATACCAATTCATCCTACAAAGTATTTAATGTGAGCAGCTCAGTAAAGTATCACAAAGTCACACATCTGTGTCATCACTTAGGTTAAGAAATAAAACATTTTTTAAAAAAAGAAAACATTTTGAGCATTCCTTAACCCACTCTCTTGACCTAAAACACTAGAGTACTTCTGGATCTTTAAAACTATTGACCAGGATAAAATAATGTACTGATTCTGATAATTTACATATTAATTCTTTTTTCCCCTGTGTATATTATTGTGTCAGCTGCCAGCCTCCTTCCCCACCCCATCCCCCCACACCCCCCCAAAAGGTAGCATGCTTTTCTTTCCAGTCTTTATTCCTTTTATTTCATGTTCTTCCCTTATTGCACTGGCTAGCATCTAACACAGTGATGAGTGGAAGAGGTGATGGCAGATACCATTGTCTCAGTTCTGTTCTCTGCATTTCTCCATTAAGCATGCCATTTACTATAGATCAATGCTGCTTTTTTATAAGAAGTTCGTTTTTAGTTTCAACTTCACAGCAACTAGCAACTTTTACTTTTAGCTTTCTAAGAGATTTTTGTTTTTAAATCATGAATAGAAGTTGAGTTTTATCAAATTCTCTTTGTGCATCCATTTAAAGAGGGGTTTGTAGAATTACTCTATAAAGCACCACATAGCCAGGGCTTTAGCTTGCCAACAATACAATCTTGCTACTATGCAATTTTGCCATTACAGCTTTGGGAAAGCAGCCATGGGCAATGCATGTACCAAAGAGCCATACAGTATTCCCGTGAAACTGTTTTTATAAACAGACAGCTGGATTTGACTTGCAGGCTGTAGTTTTACAACCCCTTGATGGTCATACTTTTCATCCAGTTTGTTAAGCACTGGTCTATTAACCAGCTGTCTGCTTCCATAAAGATGTACGGCTTCTGAAACCATACTATACCCTGTAGGGTTTCTGAGTCCAATTTGACTTGATGGCAGTGCATTTATGTGATTTTGCCTTTATTCTGCAAGAGTGGTGAATTATATAAAATGATTTTCCAATGTTTGAACCTATTAACAATTTGTTCCTCTCTTTTGGCAGTTTGTGATTTTGTTTTCTACCTCTTGCATCTATATTACTGAGAAAGACTGGGCTGTGACATTTGAGGTTTTGGTACCCCATCTGGTTGGTTTAGCCTCATAAAATAAGTTGGGCCTTATAAAACTCTCCTCTGAAAGACTTTATACAATGTTGATATTATCCTGTTTCCCAGAAAATAAGACAGTGTCTTATATTAATTTTTGCCCCCAAAGATGTGCTAGGTCGTATTTTTCCATGAAGAAGAATATGGTACACATTTTTTGTTTATTGTTTTATTAAAAGATACCTTGTACTTCCTGTCTGCTCCGGCTGCACTGTGGCCAACAGTGAGCTGCGCGGCAGCGCTCGCCGCTAAGGTCCAGAGTCCAGAGTTACGGTAGCTTTGTGGGGGCTTATTTTGGGGGCGGTCTTATTTTCAGGGGATGCCTTATATTTCAGCGAGAGGCAAAACTGTAAGTAGGTCTTATTTTCGGGGGATGTCTTACTTTTGGGGAAACACGGTATTTCTTGCCAGCATAGTTATAGTTCACCAGTGAATCCATCTGGGCCTCAGGTATTCTTTCTTAAACATGAAAGATTTTAAATTGTGGATTAAATTTTCTTAGTAGTAAGATTTCCTGTTACTTTTTATCTTCTAGCAGGTAGCGTGGGTCCTCTTGATTAGTTGTATCACTTTTCAAAAAATGAATTTTTGTTGTTTTGGTGAACTCTGTTGCATATTAACTATTATTTCATTATTTCCTTGGCTTATTTTGCTATTTTTTGTATCTGAGACATGTTTAGTTAATGGATACTCAGCTTTCTGTATTATATTGAATTGCACTGTATAGATTTGAATTTCTTTAAGGATGACTTTATTACAGTCTAAAATTTGATATATAGTATTTTTATGCCTATTGATTTCAAAATAGTTTTTAAATTCTTCATTGTGACTTCTTATTTAACTCTTGATTCATCACAATGTGTTTGTTATCTTGAAATTATCACTTTTTTGTCTTTTGGCTTAGTATTTGTGTTAGTCTGGGTAGACTAGAGAAACATATCCATAGTTGCTCATATGTGTATAAGGAAGAGCTTTATATATAAGAGCAATTGAATATTGAGGAAACATCCCAGCCCAGTCCAAATCAAGCCCATAAGTCTGATATTAACCCATATGTCCGATACCAATCTATGAAATCCTCTTCAGACTCACGCAACACATGCAATGATGCCGAATGCAGATGATCACAGGCCAGTGGGTGGAAAGTTGTGGATACAGTTCAGTGGAAGCGTCTAAGCACTGGCAGGGGCTGCCACATGGCTCCAGGAATGTCTCGCTGGGAGTGTCTGTGCCCCACCTCCAGCAAACTATTTATTTCCATAGCACCTCCAAATGAGGTCATCAAGCCTGATAGGCTAAACTCCACCCCTTCACTCTTAATAGTCTCAAGGTGCTACCAGATTATGTAGCTACCACATTATCATCGTGGCCAAATGACATACAATGTAATGTTTCACTCCTTTGTAATTTGTTGAGATTTGCTTTATGCCCCAATTTTGATAAATGTTCTAAGTGCAATTGAAAATAATAGGCATTTGTTTTGGGCTTTCGTTGTATAGTTTATTAACTTTAAAAGTATATGGAAAGACTGTTATGTGGAAGGTCTCTTAAAATCTATTGTGATTATGAATTTATTATTCAGTTACTTGAGGAGTACTGGTAGCATAAAGGGTTATATGTTAGGGCACTAACCAAACAGTCAGCAGTTCCAAACCACCAGCCGTTGCTCAGGAGAAAGATGAGGCATTTATTTACTCCCGTAAAGAGTTACAGTCTTGGAAACCCACAGGGACAGTTCTAGCCTGCCATATGGGGTTGCCATGAGTTGGACTAGACCAGATAGTAGTGAGCTAAGCTGATTTATGTTTTAGGGTTTAATTTGTTTATATATTTGAGGTTATATTGTTACATGCATATAAAATAGTTTGCTTTTCAGTTTGTGGTTGCATGACATATTATTTCTTTCCTTTCGTGTTAAATTTGTCTATGCTCCTACATTTAAGATGTGTCTTTTGTGATTGCTTTTTCATCCAATCTGACAATCTTTATCTTCTCATTAGACAGTAATGCAATTTCTGATATATTTGAACAGAAATTGCCATCTTACTATTGTTCACATTGTTGCCAACTCTTCTCTGTTCCTTTTTCTTCTTTGTGGGGTAGAATGGGGGCCATTGATTAAATACTTTTTCATTGTTTCTTTTGAAGTTGTTCTAAATATTGGTACTCGCATGTACCTTTTAATTACTAAAATTCAAGTTGAAATAGAATATTGATTGTTAAAGAATGGGAATGCAATTATTTAAACTTTATACTTTCCTGAATTTTTTCAAAAAAATTTTTCCTCAATGTAATTTAGGCAGTGTTTTATTTTATACATAGTTATATACAACTATAGGAGGAGTTCTGGGGGTTGTTTAGATTTCTTTTGCAAATACACATGAACAACTTGCTTAAAAATTCCTACAGATGTTTTTACTCTTTCATTAGAATGAAAATATTTTGACA